AACTGTAAAGAAGCAAGAATCCGCAATAATCCCGCTGCTCAGAGATCTCCATTGTTAACATTTTTGGCATATTTCTTTCTACTGTGTATTGTTTGTGTGGGAGCATGCTCGCGCACGCATGCTGCTGTTTATAGATTTGTACCCTTTTTTTTTTGTGATTTACCATTACAGTGAAGTTATTTTCCTTTACTGTTAAATAGTCTCTGAAAACGTGGTTTTGGATGGTCTTGTAGCCTTTCTTCACCCAGCTGCCCCGCGTTTCACATTTTCTTGTTAGACCGTTGGAATTGTTTATAGCTTTTTGCTGTTATAAATAATGTTAAAAAGAAAAAAAAATTTTTTAAATATTTCATCTATTTGACAGAGACACAGCAAGAGCAGGAACACAAGCAGGGGGAGTGGGAGAGGGAGAAGCAGGCCCCCCACCAAGCAGGGAGCCCGATGCGGGGCTCGATCCCAGGACCCTGAGATCATGACCTGAGTGGAAGGCAGACACTCAACGACCGAGCCACCCAGGTGCCCCACAAAGAAAAATTGTTCACCACAGGTTTCCTTTGGGGTATCTCTGATGATTCCCTTAGGTGAGAAGTTCTTTGATACATTGATACGAGATTAAAGAGAAGAGGAACATTTTGAAGCTCTGTGTATGTTTTGCCAACTGGTACCTGGCACTCCTCTGATTTAAAGGGATACAGATAGAGTACCTAGACGTTCTAGAACAGTGGCCTTGGGCTTTGGGGTTTTGCAGAGCAGTGAAAACATGTAAAAACACTGAGGAGGGACAGACATCTGGTCCCGGTGTTATTTGGTCAAGCAGAGCTTTTTCTGCCCTCCTACTTACTCTCATTCTAGAAGAAACACATTTTAATACTGAACAGTAAGGATGTGATTTCACACGAAAGGACAGTTGTTAAAATTGAATAAAACTTGATATTTAAAAACCTATTTACTGTCCTTATTTCCATTCATTCCTCCTTGGACCTGTGTACGTTTGGAACTAAATTTCTGCTTTTTTTTTAAATAAAAAACTATTTTTAGGTTGCACAGAAACACATTTTTTTTTCATGGAGTATAAGCAATTAATTCTTTCCAAATCTTCTAGTGGGCTCTGACTCAGTGCTACATAGCTTTTCCATGCACCCTGGCTAAGAGTCAGGGGCTTTTAAGATGCAGATACATTATCAATATGTTTCTACATACATATGTTTTCCATTTGTTGTAACATGTATTTGGAAGAGGGCAGCAATTTTGTGGAAGTGGGGAAGAGCGAGATGGGAGAGGGCCTTAGGGCCGCTAAGCTCGAGATACATATTTTTAGAATCAGAATTGGCTTGGTGTTTGGATATACCCTTGGCAACATTAACATTTTTTTCTTCTTATTGTATGACACTTTTGATTTTGAAAAAATTCAAAGCCAGAGAAAATTTAAGAATAGCATAAGAAGCTCCTGTTTATCCTTCACCTAGATCCATTGATTATTTTGCCCCATTTACTTAATTTCTCTCTCTCTCTCTCTCTCTCTCTCTCTCTCTCTGCTATAGTATTATACACATTTGAGAGTAAATTTCAGCAATAAACACCCTTGATCCTTTGTTACTTCCACATGCATTTTCTAGGGACGGGGACATTTTCTCGTGATACCATGATGTAGTTATCAAATTGAGGAAGTTTATACAATACTGGATTTTTTTCAACTGTGCCTATTTTTGGAGGAGCTTTTTCTTCCTGACCGGTATCTAATCGAGAATCAAGTGTGACATTTATTTGTTGTGTCTCTTTAGGCCTGTCTCTCTTAGGACACCAGCATTTTTTAAGAGTACAGGCCTATTGGTTTATAAAACATCTTTCAGTTTGGGCTTAGCTGAAAGATTCCTGGTGCTTTATTTCAGCATATGCAGTGCCATACACTTAGTAACTTAAAGCAACAATAAACATTTGTGATTTCACATAATCTCTGTGGGTCAAGAATTTGGGAGTGGCTTAGTTGGGTGGTTCTGGCTCTGGATCTCTCATGAGATCACAGTCAAAAAAATGCTGCCCGGGGCTTTCATCATCTCAAGGCTTAACTGGGGCTGGAGGATTTGCTTTCAAGGGGGCTCATCCCATGCTGGACAGTTGGGACTGGCTGTTGGCTGGAGGCCCTCACCACAGAGACCTCCCCAAAGGATGCTTGAGTCTCCTGGCCTCACTGCATGGAGCTGGCTTCCCCCAGAATGGGTGGTCCGTGGGCAGGAACAAAGAGGAAACTTCAGCGTCTTAGGACCTGATCTCGCAAGACTCATACTCTTACTTCTGCTGCATTCTGACCCTGCACGGTGGTTTTAAAACATATCCACAAAGTCTTTATTCTCCCCTTCAAAGGATGGAGCCGCCTTCTCCCCTGGAGTGCGGGCTTGACTCTCCTCTGGGGAGCGCAGTGCTAAGTGACAGCTTCTATGCACCGGGCTAGGAGCCTGTGTGTCCAAGGACTCAGGTCCTGCTGCCCGGGCTGCTGGGGATGCCCTCTCGCTCCACAATACCAGAGCTGCCACACTTGCAGCCTCGGCTGGCTTTTCCTCAAGTGTCCAGAGCCGGGCCTGCAAATGCAGCAGGAGTAAGAATGTAAAGGTGGCTGAGAAGAGCCAGCCTCCCACAGAGTCTCCCGGAGAAGGCTGTTCTATGCGAGAGCCATCCCAGTCACAGCAGGGCCCTCTGCAGAAGCTGACGTTTAGGAAGAGGGCCTGCAGCAGGACCCTGAGAAAAGCACAGGAGAAATTGCCCATGGCTTGTCGGAAGGAGGGCTAGGCAGGGAGGGATGGTGTTGGGATCTTCACCTGAGCGCCCTGGGGGGCGAGAGTGAGCCAGAACCCTACGACAAGGGCCCTGGGCCCAAGAACCTTGGGCAGGTACACACCTTCCGGCATTCTGTGAATCGCCCATGTTACTCACCTCGCTGAGCCCCGTTTCAATAAATGCCAACATAGCACGTGTTTTTGAGTTAAAGTATTAATATCATTAATTTTAAGTCTTTTTTTCATATTTAAACATTTCTGAGATTTGGAGACATCTTAAAATCAACACATCCTACAGTTAGGTGACATGTGTCCTCTTAGAGATTCTTAAAAGAATGGTGTGTCTTCCAACTGTTGGCATCTTAATTTTTATGAAATACTGTAGATTGGAGTTATGGTAGCGCTAAGGAATCACTAGTTTTTTTAAGGTGTTTCGGCTTTATAGTGTTTTATTATAAAAAAGAGTCCTTATCTCTTAGGTCTATTGAAATATTTATGGATGCTCTGCTATGTGGGGTTTTGCTTGACACTAGTCTGGGATGGAGGGTGTGGGTGAGGGCTTAGATGAACCAAGATTGACCATGCATTGAGAATTGTTGATGTCGGGCCCAAGGTCCCAGGACTGTCTTATAATATTCTCTCTACCATTTATATGTTTGAAAATTTTCATAATGAACTAAAGGGAGAAAAACCACAAAGAAATAAAGTGCATACCTAAAGGGCTTTCTGTCTGCTTTTTGCAGGACCGGGTCCCTCAATATTCAGGTCTCATCCTCCATGTCACCTCCTCTAAGAGGCCCTCCCTGATTACCTGTTCTGTGGTTACTCCCCTTTCCCCTTCCCACACCCCTCAACAGTTGCTGTTTTGCATCCTGCTTTTCTTCCTAGCACCATCGCCGACTGAAATTACTGATATGTTTGCTTACTTGATTATTGTCCCCTTGCATGTAAGCTCTGTGGGAGCAGGGTGGTTGTTGTTTTTTTAAACCCAGCACCTAGTAGTCTATCAGGAGATATTTGGTGACTGACTGGTAAGGGCCCCCTGGTACATTGCTTGGCCCGTGGCAGACAGTTCACAGAGCTAGCTTCACTCCTCATGCTGCTATGTTCTGCATCTCTTTGATGTGTCCCCGGCCTGTCTGTAAGGCCTTCCCTTTCTGTCCAGACAGCCTGTCCTCTCTTCAGCCTGCATGCCCCTCTCGCTTTGCCAGCCCACCCTTCCAGCCCCGGGGTCCTGCAGGTGCCCCTCTTGGGCTTCTGTTCCTGCCCCTCTCTGGCCATTTCTTGCTGATGAGTTCCAGGCATGGCCCAGTCCCTGGGATGACCCTGGGAGTTTGTCATCAGCTATTGTGAGGAGAGACTTCTCTGTCAAGTAGGGAAACTTCCCTGTAAAGTAACAGGAAACCCTACTAAAGAACGAGGAAGCTTATTGGTTCCTGTCACTGCCAGTCAAGGCACATCCCCTCACCCTACCTCTCCCCCCCCCCCCCGGCCACCACAGAGTGGATTGAGGGGTGGCGTGGGTACTCAAGGGGGGGTTAGTCAGGGTCCTCTCCGGAGCCCTTCCAGACTGTTCTAGCATTCTAGCGGCAGCTCCAGTTTCTGCGTCCAGCGCACTGCCTTTGTGAGCAGGGACATGCAGCTGGGGTGGTGCTGGGAGGGCAGTGAGACTCCAGCCAGTGGCCAGAGCACAGCGAGTGACACCTGCTGGAAGGGACGCATGGCTAGGGGCCCCTCCTGCAGCCAGCAGCTGCCTGCACCCTCAGGCCCAGGGACAGAAGGAGGCCAGAGTGTGCCAGGTAGAGAAATGGGGAAAGGATGCTCCAGGCAGAGGGCACGGTCTGAGCACAGGCCTGGCAGTTGGCCTTGGGGTCAGAAGGGAGCAGACCCCGGTGAGAGAGTGGCAGTCTCCCTCCCTTCTGGTCTGCTTAGCTTGTCTGTCACTCAGATCTGAAAATTGCCCTAAAGCCTAAAAACAGCATCCCACCGTTCAAGCTTATAGGGTGTCATTTTAGAGCCTTTCTTAGAATCTGTTAGGGTTCCTAGTGGAACACAAGGTGGGGATGGGGGGCTCTGGAAGATGCCAGCAGATGATTTTCCATTCCCAGGAAGAGGCCTCGAGACTGTGACCCGTGTCCCCTTTTCGCCTCCCTCCCCAGCACCAGCCTAGGCCTGGTACACACAGTCTGCAGCAGGTTCTCTATTCCTGAAACTGTCTCGTATTTGCAGGTGCAAAGAGAAGAAATATGATTATGATAATCTGCCCACGACATCTGTTGTCATAGCGTTTTATAACGAAGCCTGGTCGACCCTCCTCCGGACAGTTTACAGTGTCCTCGAGACGTCCCCAGACATCCTGCTAGAAGAAGTCATCCTTGTAGATGACTACAGTGATAGAGGTGAGCCCCCGCCGTGGGCTCTTGGAGGGGCCTGGCTTTCCACGGCGGTGCCTGGGAGGCAAAAGCATGACTTCAGAGGGGTGGAAATGTGGGCAGAATGGGCTTCCTGTGTCCCCCTGGGCCCGGCCCCTGCCCTCAGGGGGCTCAGAGCCTGCTGGGGATGCAGGGGTGCTGACAGCTCTACCACATGGTGCTGCAGGAAGATGAGGCAGTCGGGAATAGGGGCTGACCTTACATCTTGGAGGGTGACTAGTTTGTGGGCAGCAAAGGTGGAGGGAGGGGTTCTGATGGAGGCACAGAAGGTGGAAAGGCTCAGAGGCACAGTGTCACATGGGTTGTGTAGGATCTGTAGGTAGTTCAGGAAGGCCAGAGGAGCAGCTGCTTCAAGGGGAGCAGGCAGAGGAGAGAGGTGAGACCTGGGGAAGGGTGCAGGTATTAGAAATGAGGTCAAATTGGGACTTTATCCTGAGGGCAGGGAGACCAGAGGTGGGATTTTAAACAGGAGAGCGGTTTTGCCCTTTGAGGTATCCCTCTAGGCCCAAGATACCTGTGGGTGGAGAATGGTGTATGGGGGAGCTCTGCGGGGAGGCCAGGGACTGTAGAGGTGGCCTAGGGGAGAGATGGAGGCTGGGAGTCAGGTGGGAGTAGAAGGGAGGGGTGGGGAGGGGGAGGAGGGACATTTGAGACATGACATCTGGAGGAGCTACAGGCTTCTGGCTTGGGTCTCTGGGTGAGTGGTGGTGCTGTCCCAGAGCTGGAAAAGCCACCCAGGGCAGGAGTGACAGGTCTGGGAGAGGAAGGGGGCCATTTGGCTTTGGATGTGTTGAGTTTGAGATGAGATCAAAAAGGGGCAGCCCAGGGGTGCTTAGGTGGCTCAGTCTGTTGGGCGTATGACTCTTGATTTCAGCTCAGGTCATGATCTCAGGGTCCTGAGATCAAGCCCAGCGTCAGGCTCTGTGCTCAGCAGGGAGTCTGCTTGAGATTCTCTCTCTCCCTCTCCCCCTTGCCCCACTCTCTCTCTCTCTCAAATAAATAAATAAAATGTTTTTAAAAAGTGGGGGGCAGCCCAGACAGAAGAACTGAAGCCAGGGAGAGACATTCCATTGAGAGGGTGGCTGGCATCCCTACAGGCCTGACCAGTGACCTGGGGTCCAGCAATTCACATGCAGTTCAGGGCTGGCCTTGATTTATTCAGTGAACACTTTGTGAGTTTCTACTGTGTGCCAGGCACTGTTCCAGGCACCTGGATTCTGTGGGAAACACAAGTCCCTGCTCTCATAAAACTCACATTCCGGTGGGTAGAGATGTGAGTGGACATGGTCAATGAACGTGTAAAGAATAATATAAGACAACACAACACAATGTAAAATAGCATAGCATAACATAATGATATAGCAAATGTAATATAGCAAGGTAGAGAGTGCTATGAAACAAAGTGGGAGCAGGAGAGTAAGTGGAGCTTGGGCACAGGCCCTCCTCTAGCTGGTGGAAGCCTCCCTGAGGAGGTGGTTTTAAGCCAAAAGCTGGGATGTAGAGAAGGAGGCAGCCCAGCAGCCGCAGGCGCGGGAAGGAGCTGGGGTGAGCAGGCATTCCTCGGGACTGACCATTGGCCGGTGGGGAGGCGGCATGGGAGACACTGTTGCAGGGGTGGGCAAGCCAGGCCAGTAGGGCCCTGGGGGCCACTATAAGGGGTGTAGGCTAAAATAGGGGCCTGATGGGAGCCGTCTGAGGGCCGTTGAGGGAACAGGAAGGTCACTCGGTCTTGGGCTTTCTGCACTGCCCCGTGGGGCATCGCTGATGGATGGGGGGGTGGGGCATCGGGGCTGCTGTGGTCATGCCCCGTGCCACATGACGAGCTGAGTGAGGGCAAGCTCAGCTGAGGGGACATGTCAAGGCCATAGCCCATTTCAAGCCAGATTACCATCCCTGGGCCACGCATAAGGATAGCAGCTCCTGCTTCCTGGGCATCTGCTGCTTCAGGCTCTGGGCCTGGCCTGTCGGACTTCAAAGCCTGGAGTATGTGTCCTAATTGGGGGGTGTGTTTGGCTGTTCTCACAGAGACTCAAAATAACAGTGATTTACACAGGATAAAAATGATGTCTCCCACATCACATATCTTGCATAACCGTCTAGGGCTGGAGTGGCGGGCTTCACAGCGTCAGGGCCCCAGCTCCTTCTGCTCTGTAGCTCCACATTCTCCAGGATGTTGTGCTGCCTTGTCTGCATGCCCCAGGCTGGTTCTTCACCTTCTGCTCGCTCCCGTTGGCAGAAGGGTTGCCAGGGGCTGGGGAGCCAGACCTGGAAGTTGCCCTCATATCCCACTGAGCAGAACAGGGTTACTTGGCTGCACCTGACTGCAAGGGAGGCTGGGAACGGGAGGCTCTATGATGGGTGGCCATGTGCACCCACGGGAAGAGCGTATGTTCGGCCTCAGCTGGCCTTCTCCGTGAGAGTATGCAGGCCAGGCTGGGGTTTGATGTGGAGTGATGCCACCTGGCACCGAGTTCTGGGGTGTGGGCACCTGGGCCTGAAGTGAGCTTTACCGTGAACCTGTCATGGCACCTGGGACAAGTCACTTGTCTTTTCCGAGCCTCGATTTCTCATCTGTGAATGGGTTTATCCACACTTATATCAGAAAGCGGTGAGGAATAAATGAGATCATGCACAGGACAGAAACTCCATGTCAGCCGGCACGCAGTAGGTACGCATCTCTGTTTCCTCTGGTCCTTTCCTGCCAGGGCTGCTTTAAATCAGTGTTGGCACTGGTTCTGGATCACACTGCACAGGCATCCCAGCTCCAACACTTTGTAGCTACACCACCTTGAGCAAGTCCAGTGTCAACCTTGGCCTCAGCCCCCGTAAAATGGGATAACAGTTCCTACTTCATAGGGTCATTGTGAGGATTGAGAGAAAGGTGGGTCATGTGCTAGGCCAGTGCCTGGCGTATTGTTAGTGTTTGTTAAATGGTAACTTGTCCTTTTATGAAATATTAAACTGTGGAATGCCGAAAACATTTCAGAAATGCATTCGTTCAGAAGCAAAGATCAGATTATTTATTTTGTCCTCATAGGATGGAACAGCTCCTCAGCGGGCAGGGCTACGGGATGAAACCCTCCCCGCGCAGCTCCGTTCTCTCGAAGATGCCAGTGTAAGGCACTGTGGGGCCGAGGCTCCCTCCCCATCATGGTAACTTGTAGAGTGGGCAACATGCCCACTCAGCCTGTAATGAGATGGGAGCCCTGCCCTGCCCCTCCTCCCTGCTGCCTTCTCTGCGTGTCAGTCTGAGCTGAATGAAGGGGTGTCAGCTCCTCAGGGCATGGGAAGACCATTCAGACAGACATAAAATTGATGCTGACCAAATCCATAAAGAGTGCAAGGAGACTACACAGGCATTTCCTTTTTTTTTTTTTTTTTTTGCACCTGCAATTTCGTGTATGTTTACTGGGTACTGCCACTAATTAGCTTTGCTTGGGAAGTCACCTCCCTTATTTGTGCTGTCAGCTTATTTGCAGTTATATTTAGGATTGAAAAAAAAATCAACCAATGAATACTTTTTTTTTTTTTGAGTGTTAGGAATATTTAGAGAAACATTTTTACAAACTATGAAGCAACCTAGAACAGTTCATAAAATTTCCCTTTTGCTGGGGCGCCTGGGTGGCTTAGTTATTGGGCATCTGCCTTTGGCTCAGGTTGTGGTCCCGGAGTCCTGGGATCGAGCCCTGCATTGGACTCTCTGCTCTGCAGGAAGCCTGCTTCTCCCTCTCCCACTCCCCCGCTTGTGTTCCCTCTCTTGCTGTCTCTCTCTCTCTCTGTCAAATAAATAAATAAAAACTCTTTTAAAAAAATTTCCCTTTTGCTGATGATTGAGGACTTTCAGACAAAGCCCACATCAACATGGGTAGATCCTCTTATTTTTATTTTGCCTGATGGGTTCCCACCCACCTCCACGTGACCCACGGAGGGGTATGAACCAGGGCCTCCAGTCCCGGTATGTGTGTGGAGTCACAAGTCCTGGGGCCAGCCAGGGCACAACCTTTCAACTTTTAAAACCTCATTTCCTCTTCTGCCAAATGGGATGAGCACGTCCTCCTGACAAATTTTGGATTTGTTTCACAAGGATGAGAGATTATACAAGAAAGCTCTGGGAGGCAGTGTTAATTAAGCCTGTGGATTCAAGCCAGGGCCACCGGGTTAAAATCCTGGCTCCTTAGCTCACTTGTTCTGAGACTTTGACACATTACTTAGCCTCCCTGGCCTCAGTGTTCGCATCTATAAATGGGGATTGTTGTAGTGCCTACCTCATGGGAAAGTTATAAGACTCACGTGACTTAGAGATAAATCCCCTAGACAGTAATTAGCACAGGAGGCCCTCTGGTGTGAGCTGCCATTATTACTATTACCGTGTCCAGTGAAATGTGCTCCTGAGAAAATTTATGTTAACGTAAATATAAATAAAATTTGTTAACATAATTCCACATAAATTAAAATTTTATAACATTACATAATTAACATAAATCAAGTTTATATGAAGCCAATTTTTCTGAAAAATTGTGGTTGAGCAATTTTTGTGTTCTTCATTTTTAAATGTTCACAAGTCAAGATGTGATGTATTTTTGAGGGGGTAACAGCTTTGTTGAAATACATCCACATACCATATGCACCCATTTCAAACATACAATTCAGTGTGCATGTGTTGTGAAGGGGAGCATTCCGGGGTTCTGGAATTCCTCCGCCCCAGCCTCCCCTGGCCTCCCTGCGCTTCCAGCCTCGGTTCTGGGTGAGGTGAGGACATCCCAGGTGCAGAGCAAAGGAGGCTTCTGTCTATTCAGTTTTCTTCTTGGGGATAGCGAGGCCCCAGAAGGACATGGCTCGGGATGTGTGGCGGTGACCCTGCTTGCCTTGCTTGCCTCCCCAGAACACCTGAAGGAGCGCTTGGCTGATGAGCTGTCTGGGCTGCCCAAGGTGCGTCTGATCCGCGCCAACAAGAGGGAAGGCCTGGTGCGAGCCCGGCTTCTGGGCGCTTCCGCGGCAAAAGGTGAAGTGCTGACCTTCCTGGACTGCCACTGTGAGTGCCACGAGGGGTGGCTCGAGCCACTGCTGCAGAGGTGAGCATGCAGCCGGGGGCCCCACATGGTGCAGAAGCAGAAATGTCTTACCTGGGCATAGGGAGCTGCTGGGCGCCTGGGTTCAGATGCTCCTTGGGCAGTCCTCTGTCACTGGGCATGGTAACAGTCCATGCCCCATAGGGCTGCAGAGGTCATTCAGTGAACTAATACACATACAGTCCTTAGAACATGCTAGCATGTGGGAGGCCCTATGAGTGTTTGCTTTTATTCCTACTTATTTTATGTGTTTACTGTGGAACACCTTAGAAAGTATGATCAACCAAGAAAAAAAATATCAATCATAATAGAATCACACTGCTAAAGAATATATATTTTGGCGTATTTCCTTCAAGCAAGGCTGTCTTATCCATTATACCCAGTGCCTACAATGCTTAGGACCCATGAACCTTTAACATACCCACAAAAATGTTTTTGCAGTAATTGTTTTTTTCAATCAGAAGGAAAAAAATGAATATCAATAATGACTGTACAGTAATGAATTTAGCCTGGATGGTGTTTGTCCTTATACCAACATAGTCGTAAAATATAGTTTTTAATATATGTATTTTTTATGGAGCCATGAAAAGTCATAATATAGCCCTGTCTTCAAGGGTATGTCTCCTGCTGTCCCACAGTGTCTTACCTTGACCCTCCCAACCTGTCTGTCCTCTAAAACTGCAGTCCCCGGGCCTTTTGTTCTCTTCCCTCTTTTTCTCCTTACTCTCCTGATTCGGCATCATAGTGGTCAGGAGCTGGGCTGGCCAACTCAGAGTTCTTCTGGGTGGGGGAGGAGCGGCCAAGGTGGGGGGTCTGCCTCTGGTCCCTCCCTGTGGAGCTGGGGAAGGGTTGGAGGACCAGAATCTCTGCAGTTGGCAAACTGCTTTTCCGTGGCCTCTGGCGCTTTGGTTGCCAGAGTGTGCCTGGAAGAACTGGGGACCCACTGGCCTCCCTTCCTGTGTGAGACCAGGCTGTCCCCTGTTCTGCCACTTCTGCTGTCCTCGGTCCTGTCCCCTGTGGGTGCCCCAGCTGCCTCTTTCTCCTCCTGCTGAGCTTCACTAGCAGCAAGAACCCAGGGTTCCCCAAGCCTGTGATGGAGTCTGAGGTTACTTAGAATATGGTGACAGCTAAGAGTTCCCTCTGGAACCTGGACCAGTGGGTTTGCCCTTCGCCCCCTTCCCATGTGCACACAGATGACTGCCTTTAGGCTGGTCTAAAGGCAGCCGATGCGCTAACGCTGCCCAGAATTCCGCTCTAGCCCATCCCCTGAGGGCAGCGAGGCAGTCCTGTCCACAGACAAGTTCCTTGTTCCGTATCTCCAGACAAAAGCACCCCAATCTGGGGAATTGGTAAAACATACCAACTCCTGTTCTCACGGCAGACTCTTTGGATCTGAAGCTCTGGGGGTGGGCCTGGGCTTCTGGATGTTTCTAGAGCTCCCCAGGGACCTCGGTGGGCACCAGAGTTGGCACACACTGGTCCCTTAGACGGTCCAACAGGAACAGTAACCCCATTCCTCCAGGGGCTTTTGGATATAGAAGATGTTCTTTGGTTCTCAAGTCAGGTGAGTCGTACTCCTGGCGTTTTTCTAAGCTGGGGATTAGGGATGCTGGACAGCCCACAGTGCGCAACTCAGCCCCGCACGACAAAGAATGGTTTGCCCCAGATGCCAGTAGCATGCCTGCCCCCCCGGCCCCCCCTGCCCCGCTGTGGGGCGCACTGCTACTGGGCCTGCTCGTTGTGTGACCGTGCTCCAGGGGCCTTTACGCCAAGGCTGGTTCCCCCTAGTTCTCCTTTTCCTATAAAAATTAGGCTCCCCATGGTTCCAACCAGCTTGATTCCAAGTCACAAGTTCTTGTCTCTGCCAGGGGCTAAGCAGCTTCTTTGAACCTGCTCAGCGGGTCTGCCATTGGTCCCCTCAAACCCTTTAAGAGCACCCTCAGTTTATTTAAAGAATTGGGTGTTGATAGGTACCCAGTCTGCATCTCCCTCACTTTAGAGAATTCCCAGGTTTTATTCATGCAATCTATCCCGAACAGTGCAATTTCACCTAATAGTGTAATTCTTACCTAAGTGTGATATTCACAACACCCCCTGTGGTATTCTGGTATTATTCTAAAGACACAGCTCAAGTCTGCTTGATCTCTGTTTCTTCACACCATTGCTCTGTGTGACTTAGGATTTTTAGGTCTCAAATCCCAGAGAAAAGCCCCCGAAATGTAACCCAGAGAAATCCAGTGTTCACACACAGCCTAGTCCCGGTTCATCTTTCCTGGTGTGCCGTCAAATGCAAAATACCGACACGACATGGCAGCGTGCTGAAGGATGCTTGGATCTGCAGCGGTGACTGTGGAGAGCAGCTGAAGCAGACACGCAGGCTGATATCTACGGCAGGAAGGCACGGGGTTTTTCAATGTAATACCATATAACATTGCACAATAACAAGAATTAAAAGAATAACAATAGTTCCAGGTTCTCTGTCAACCATCTTTTACAAACATTCCCTCAGGGAGTCCTCACGTTAACCCTCTGAGTAGGTATCAATGCGCCCGTGATTAGGCTCTGAGAGGTTAGGTGACTTGGCTAATGTCACACAGCAAATAAGGGGCAGGATTCAAATTTTTATTCGAGCTCCAAAACTGATCCTCTGGTCTGGGTGCATCTCTTTTGAAGGGGGATAATTATTTCTTGACACGAAGAGGTTTCATTGCGATTACATGAAGAAACCTCTTGCCATCTTTAGAAACTGAAAATCTGTTTTCTGTTTTAAAAGTGACCTTTGATTTTCACATGTCCCGACTTTCATGGAGGGATTCAAGTTTATGCAGAATAGTCATAGATGGAATCAGAACATGAAAGCTGTGGGACCTTCCATCTTCAGGCCAGAAGCCTTCCTTCCTCAGCTTCCCCCATCACCTGAGCATTCCCTCTGATGAGCACCGGCCAGGGCCTGACATGGCTGCAGACACCTGCAAGAGAAGGCACAGGCCTTCTCACACAGGCTAGGAAGGAGGAGGAGAGTTCATCCCCAAGTTCCCTTCCAGTCCCCCGGCCACCTCTCTGCACGGAGAGGCACACAGGGCATCCTGGTGTTCGCAGGATCCACGAAGAGGAGTCGGCAGTGGTGTGCCCTGTGATCGATGTGATCGACTGGAACACGTTTGAGTACCTGGGCAACTCCGGGGAGCCTCAGATCGGTGGCTTCGACTGGAGGCTGGTGTTCACTTGGCACATGGTCCCCGAGAGGGAGAGGATGCGGATGCAGTCCCCCATTGATGTCATCAGGTGAGGGGTGACTTCCAGGCGCTCACTCTTGGAGCGTGCCTCGTCGCATCTGGCATCAGGGAGTCAGCCCTTGGGAGGCTGGTTGGCTATTGCTCCCTTGTTTTCTCCAGAGCATTTGCTTGCTTTTATTAAAAATCTTCCCTACACACATGAATTTTATATTGGTATATTTTATTGATTTGGTTATTTAAAAAACTGGTAAAATGTGCATAACAAAATTTTCTACTTGCACCTTTTTTGAGTGTTCAGTTCAGTGGCATCAAGCACATTTACAATATTGTATAACCATCACCTCTACATACTTCTAGAACATTTTCATCATCCTATCCAGAAACTCTATACCCATCAAGCAATGACTCCCCTTTCTCTCCTTCTCCAACCCCTGGTGACTACTATTCTACTTTCTGTCTCTACGGATTTCCCTAGTCTAGATTGCTCATTTAAGTGGGATCACACAATACTTATCCTTTTGTGTCTAGCTTCTTTTACTTAACATAATGTTTTCAAGGTTCTTCCAGAAGCCCATTCCTTTCTTTTTTTTTTTTTTTAAGATTTTATTTGTTTATTTGACAGAGAGAGACAGCTAGAGAGGGAACACAAGCAGGGAGAATGGGAGAGGGAGAAGCAGGCTTCCGCTGGGCAGGGAGCCCGATGCGGGGCTCGATCCCAGGACCCTGGGATCATGACCTGAGCTGAAGGCAGACGCTTAACGACTGAGCCACCCAGGCGCCTCAAGCCCATTCCTTTTTATGGCTGAATAATATTCCACTGTGTATACACCCATGTTTGTTTATCCATTCACCTACTGATGGACACTTGGGTTGTTTCTACCTTTTTTTTTTTTTTAAGATTTTTATTTATTTATTTGACAGAGAGAGCGATCACAAGTAGGCAGACAGGCAGGCAGAGGGAGAGGGAGAAGCAGGCTCCCCACTGAGCAGGGGGCCCGATGGGGGGCTTGATCCCAAGACCCCGGGATCATGACCTGAGTCGAAGGCAGACGCTTAACCACCTGAGCCCCCTAGGTGCCCTGTTTCTACCTTTTGGTTATCGTAAACAGTGCTGTTGTGAACGGGGTACTGTTATCTGTTTGAGTCCCTGTTATCCATTTTTGGGGGTGTATACCTAGGAGTGCAATTGGGTGAGTCCTATGGTAATTTCAAGCTTAACATTTTGAGGACATGCTGTCAGGCCCTTTTCCAACTGGGTTATAGGTGGGCCTGGGGCTGAACCAGCCACCTTTGGCCAGTCAGTGAGTGAGCCTGGGTCTGAGAAGAGTGGGCTCAAAGGGGGCTCCGTTGCTCTCATTCTTCGAGGTGTTGAAGTAATAGGATGGCTTCTTCCTCTCCTTCCAAGTTCAGGACCAGATGGGAGGCAGATACAAGAATCAGGCAGATGGAGGTCAAACATCAGCTTTATTGCTGGTGTACCAAGCTGGAAATGGTGTCTTGGATCTGCACCCATGTTCGGCAGGTGGGCTTCTGGATCTTCCACCTGAGCTCTGCCCCTGAGATGACTCACTTCTGGCCAGAGGGAAATGCCTGTGGGGACAGTGTTGAGAGGTGGGGGAAGAGAGACAAATGCGGCCAAGTCACGTCCAGCCTGGAAGGTCAAGGACAGGGCTTTGGACTTTACCTGGAGAAGGTGGAAGCCGCCGAAGGGATTTGAGCTGGAAATGACCATTGCCTGTTGCATTCTTTAAAGGTTGCTGGATGCCACATGGTGAGGGGCCTGCAGGGGGTGGGGCAGGGGGCAGGGACATCGTTAGGAGGCATCGTAGTCTTCTAGGCAGGAAGGATGGTGCAGAGGATGGAGGGAATGGAGGACCCCAGAGATGTTGCAGGGGAAGAATCGAGGGAGGCTGAAGGAGAATGAGGAAGGGAGAGTTTGGGTGGTGCCCAGGCTTCTGTAGGAGCCCTGAGGGACATCCTACCCAACGTTTCACGGATTTTTGTAAACTGAGGCTCAGAGTAGGAAGGATCCTATCTGGGGTCACATATGCAGCTTGGGATGCTGACATGAACTCCCATGCCCCCACCCCATGTGTACATGTAAACTCAGGGATGTCGTGGCCAACTCCCCTTCCCTTCCTATAATGTCCCTGGGCCTCAGTTTCATCACCTATGAAATGGGTACAAGCATATCCACCCTGCCTACTTAGGCTTTTAGGAAGAACACACATGGAAGTGCTTTGTAGTCTAGAGCCTTCCCTTCCGCAAGGAATCTTGCTGCCCTTTTCTCGTTGGCCCTGAGCTTAGAGCGCAGGGAAAGCCAATTCTTTGTCAAGGGCCAGAAGTGCTGCTGTAACATCTGTAGACAGTTAGGCTCTTAATGAAGTATAGGTCTCCATTTCCAAATGCATCCTTTTGCATCTGCACCTCCTGGTGTGTTGACCCCACAGCTTTCTGCTGTGGTAGGACAGAAGCCTTGGGCCCTTTCTGGAACCAGTCCTGGTTCTAGAGGAGCCTGGTGAGGAGAACATCAGGCCGGCTGAAGAAGCAGGCCAATGCTAGCCGTCTGGGTCCTGCAGGGGAGGCCACTCATGCAGGAGAGGAATGGGCCCTGGGGGAGCTTTAAGATGATGGACTTGCCTTTCATGGTCTTCTATAGCCCTGAGGGCGTCCGTGCTTGCCCGCCCTGTGACTGCACGGCCAAGGCCACCGCAGCCCGGTGCTAGCCATCCTCTTGGGGAGCACATCTCTGTCCTTGGCTTTCACTGTTGTCTGTGCTTCCAGAAGGACAAGGTCTTCTCTCACCCTCAGGCCTTTGCTCATGCTGGTGTCTTCCTGGAGGACCACCCCATTCCTCTTCTCTGCCAGCTCCCCTGTGTTCTTCAGCCTGAGCCCTTCCCCCCGCCCCAGGCCTCTTCCTGGGTGCCCCCGGGGCTCTGGCTTGACCTGAGTGCTCTCACACACAGTGCCGGTTGAGGTGTCCGTGAGCTTCCCCAGGGCAGGGACTATGGGACACATGTATGTATGCCTTCAGGCCCAGCCTAGTGCCTGGCATGGGGTGTGAACTCAGGATGTGCCTAGAGACGGATGGGCAGGCCGGAGGGCTCGGGGCGGGCAGGAGTTCAACCGTGCTGGCTTCCTGCCCCTCACATTACAGTACAGCTCTCACACTTCTAGGTCTCCAACAATGGCTGGAGGGCTGTTTGCTGTGAGTAAGAAATATTTTGAATATCTGGGGTCTTATGATGCAGGAATGGAAGTTTGGGGCGGAGAAAACCTCGAATTCTCCTTTAGGGTAAGTATTCCAGTCTTCTCTTCAGACTCATTCTAACCTGTTCTCTCTCTTTCTCTCCCGTGAGAAATGATGGGATTTTCCAGGAGACCCTGGTGGACTTTTCCTCCATGTTGGCAGATTTTATCTAACAGTACTGAAAGATGATAGTAGTGGTACACACATCCTAGAGACATGCTTGTCTTCTTGTTTGAAAACATGTTTTCATGTTTTAAACATGCTTGTTTAAAAAAAATGTACTTTTCATAGATTTGGGGCAGGGAAGGGCCTTTCAAGTTACCTAGTTCTTTTCTCTCACTACAACAGGGAGGAGCTGGGACCTGGACAGGGGAGGTGACTGGGTCAGGGTCACCCAAATTGTGAGTGGCAGACCCTGGGCTCAAACACAGGCCCCTGCGTCCCAATTCCATCTTTTGGAGCCTTGATCTGCTTAATTCCTCATGAAGTACCCTGTTTGGTACAGTGACTTTCCAGCTTTGCCACATATAAGAATTGTTAGGGAGACTTGCTAAAAAAGGGCAGATTCAGGTACAGTCTCCACAAAGTCAGGTTTGATGGATTGTCAGTAGGGACCAGGAATCTGGTTTTTGGAACAAGCCCACCTACTGATTCTGCTGCGTATGACCCACAGATGCCCCTTGGAGAGGCCTCCAGCATTTCATTGGGGTTTCCAATTCACCAAATCCTGCATTTTGAAGTATCAAAAAGTTATGTCAATGTCTATACTTTTTAATAGAAAATTTTAAATTTCAATAATGTTTTATATAGTTTCCTGCTTAGAAAGAATTCATAAGAATTGGCCCTCCACTGAAGACTCACACCCCCCATTCAAAGTACCCTGGTCACACATCCTGGGGACAATGGGGTGTTTCCAGCCATTTGCCCCCGCATGAAATGGTCTCAGACAACTCAGCCTGTTGAGGTTTAGGGTGTGCTTTTAATGGTCTTTCTGCCTCTTCCCTAGGTGTCAGGCTGCTCTGCCTGCCTCTAGAAGCTCTTCCTTTCCCCCTTCCAAACCTCTCTTCTTACTTGCCGCTTTCCTATCTTCTGTGGCTAGGAGACCAGGTAAAGAGCCTGTGTTTTACATGATGAGTAAATGGGCTCTGGTGAGGTCAGCTATGGGTACTCCTGTGGGTCAAGTGCATGAACTTTAGTGCATGGACTTTGAGGTCTCACTTCCGATGGCTTATTCGTTTTGGGGGCTGTGTTCTTGCTCTTCGACTGCATTCTGTGTTCTGCGTGTGCTGGGGAGGTGACCTCCTGTCCCCTGGGGAGCGAGGCCCTGGCAGCATTCATTGTGACGTCTGTGTGCCCAGCCTCCTGGCTGTGGGCATTGTGGACCAGCAGCCCGCCCCCCACTCACCCACCAGCCTCCTCCCTGCTCTGTGCACAGATCTGGCAGTGCGGCGGGACCCTGGAGACACATCCCTGCTCTCACGTTGGCCACGTTTTCCCCAAGCAAGCTCCCTACTCCCGCAACAAGGCTCTGGCCAACAGTGTCCGAGCCGCCGAAGTGTGGATGGATGAATATAAAGAGCTCTACTACCATCGCAACCCGCATGCCCGCTTGGTGAGTTCCCTGGCCCGCCTGCACCCCGGCTGGCCTCCACACCCTAGCAGACCTGGCTCCAGAAATAGAGAATAGGTCGGGGCACCCATGATACCAGCATGGGAAACCTTTATTCCTCCCCTTATAATAATACCTACAGTTGCTTCTCATTGGTCACAGTACTTACTGTCCGTGCGGTCATGCCCAACCCTGATTTCCAGACTACTGAACCACTGCTCCTGAGGGTCAACAGGGCTAGGTCCCTGCATGCCTCTCGTGGGTTGACATTTTTGCCAACTGATCAATTCATAACTTGGTTTCACATGTATCTCAGTTGGAAGACATTAGGAAGTACCCGTTGTCGATTCTTCACATCGGACGCACGGCCAACAGCACTGTAACGCATGAATGAAGCTCATCTCACCCACGTATTTTCTCCGTCAGGCCCAGCACAGCCTTCTTGCACCTAGGAACGCTACCCAGCCCTTCAGCACCGTGCTCATGGGGCTTTTGACCAGTGAAATCACCAACACAGAGCAGCAAAACCTGGAAAATGTGGCACTAGGCAGACCCTGAACAGGACACTTGTTGTTTGTTTTATTTTAAGATTTTTTTTTTTTAATTTTTTCTTTTTGACAGAGATACAGAGAGAGAGAGAGCATGAGCTGGGGAGGGGGGAGAGGGAGAGGGAGAAGCAGGCTCCCCACTGAGCCAGGAACCGGATGTGGGGCTCGATCCCAGGACCCCAGGATCATGACCTGAGCCAAAGGCAGATGCTTAACCATCTGAGCCACCCAGGCGCCCCAACAGGACACTTGTTGACAGTATGGGACTGAGATGTGACCTCAGCTAGGAGCGTCCCATGGGACTGTGATTTTCGGCCGCTCTGCGCATGTTTGCGAATGACGGTGAAGGTGTCGAACCACAAGTACTGACACTAGGGCTACAAATAAACTTCAGCAAGCAGGTCCATGGCTTCTGCACTGGCCAGCTCTGCAGGCCCCGGGACAGGGTGTCCACCGGCATCTGCATAACTAAGAGGGTCGCTTGGCAAGATGAGGTGTGCTCTAAAACTTCTCAATTCTGGCCACTTGATGAAAATCTCTTCTTCTGAACCCTTAGCAGCCCTTCAAGATAGCTATGAGATTCTCATTTTTTAGATGACAGAACTGAAGCTCAGAGAGCTTGCCCAAGTCCTTGTGGATCATGCAGGCAGAGCTGAGCCTGGGGCGTGTGCCCTCCCATGGACCCTTCTCCCTGCTTTGCAGAGCCCTGTGGACCTGCCCCTGACCACCCCCTTGGTCCCTCTCTGCCTCTGGGCTCCAGGTTTGGCTTCCTCTGTCCTGCTCAAGGCTGCAGGGTGGAAACATCCGCTCCTTCCCGTTACCCAGTCTTCCCGAAGACCCAGTTCCCTCTTCCTGAGGGTTCCCAAAGGATAACGTGTTAGAGGGCCACCACATATGCCTTTTGTCTGGATGCCTGGGACCCAGTGTTAAAATGGGTATTTGGTTGAAGGTGAGGACACCATGACTCACCAAAGAAAGAACCACTGGGAAATAAGTAAAAAATCTGAAATTTTACTCAGCCATCTTCCTATCATTACCATTTTGCTAAATATTTAGCTTGTCAGATTTTAATACTTTAGCATCATGGTGCTTGGACAGTAATATGTCAGCACTGAGCATCGCCCCTCTGGCCATGCTGAATAGACACTTGCTTTTGCTCAGTTATGTGGAAGTTCTTAATCATCGGTCTGGTCCAGAAAACTAACCTTCTGCAAGTATTTATCATCGTGGCACTTTGCACTCACCACTCTAAGGATATATTTCAACCTCAGTGTGTTGAGCACGTAAGGCCTTTGAGCATGATTACATCGAGGATGCTTAACCTGCGTTTGAAAGTGGGTGCTCAGGTATCAGCAGCAGTTCAGCACGTCATGGTGTGCGTACGGACGGACGTTCGCTGATCTGTGATCACGCACTCACCAATGCACGGGCCTGGGGTCCAGCGCGGCCCCAGGACTTGGCAGCTCCCTGACTTCATGACCAGGCGCTCTGTGTCCTTCCCTTGTACAGCTGGCCACACGTCCCTGTAGCGAGGGCCCCCGAGAGGGCAGATGTTTGTGTAACAGTCTCTCCTGCCAGGGTGCTGTAGCCGTGTCCGAGGCCGTGCAGGGCCCAGCATACAGTAGGTGCTCAATAAATGCTGTTGAGGAAGGGAACATCTGAGGAGATGGGGCTTTGACAGGAAGTTCGTAACCCGCAGGGACTCACTGTTTTTGCTGTTTTCTCAGGAACCCTTTGGGGATGTGACCGAGAGGAAGCAGCTCCGTGCAAAGCTCCAGTGTAAGGACTTCAGGTGGTTCTTGGAGAACGTGTACCCAGAACTGCATGTGCCTGAAGACAGGCCTGGCTTCTTTGGGATGGTGAGCAAGGCGGGCCTGTGGCAGGCAGGGGGTTCCCTGATCGACAAATCCTGGCCAAGACAGGGCCCTTTTATGGGGACTGCTGGCCTTCCTCTCCCTCCTTCCCCTCCCTGCATTCATGCACTGTCTTTCCCTCTCCCCACACCTGGGCCTCCGGTCCAGAATGTCAGCACTCGAAGCCATCTCCAAACTGGTGAGTATAAGCCTCCCATTTGTATGGACAAGGAAACTAAGGCTCACTTAGTGCTTCCATGTCCAGTGTCACATTACTTCAAGCTTCAATGGCTGGACCAGTTAATGATCCCCAACTCAGGGATTCATAAAGGCAGTAGTGGAGGGAGAAGGGTCACTTCTGTTATTTTAAAGAATCTGAAAGAAATGTTTCTGGGATGAAGTCAACTAAAATGTCCAGTGCCTTTGGCTTTTGGGAGGAATTGCACTAACTTAGGGAGGTCTCCTCTGCTGTGTGGTTTGAGCAGAAGTGTCTGTGTTCTATTCTCAAAGTCTGATAAATACAAAGCGGGACGCACTATGGTCAACTAATCTTCATCAAAGTAGGAAAGAATATCCAGTGGGAAAAAGCTATTCTCTTCAACAAATGGTGTTGGGGAAATTGGACAGTCACATGCAGAAGAATGAAACTGGACCATTTCCTTAAACCGTACACAAAAATAAACTCAAAATGGATGAAAGATTTAAATGTGAGACAGGAATCCATCAAAATCCTAGGAAACAACAGATGTTGGCAAGGATATTGAGAAAGGGGAACCCTCCCACACTGTTGGTGGGAATGCAAGCTGGTGCAGCCACTCTGAAAAACAGTATGGAGGTTCCTCAAAAAGTTAAAAATAGAACTACCCTATGACCCAGCAGTTGCACTACTAGGTATTTATCCAAAGGGTACAAACAGTAATTCGAAGGGGCCCATGCACCCCAATGTTTATAGCATCAATGTCCACAACAGCCAAACTATGGAAAGAGCCCAGATGTCCATCAACAGATGAATGGCTAAAGATGTGGTGTGTACACACACACACACACACACGGGAATATTACTCAGCCATCAAAAAGAATGAAATCTTGCCATTTGCAATGACGTGGTTGGTACTAGAGGATATTAGGCTAAGTGAAATAATCAGAGAAAGACAATTATATGATTTTACTCATATGTGGAATTTAAGAAAATACATGAACATAGGGGAAGGGAAGGAAAAATAAAATAAGATGAAAACAGAGAGGGAGGCAAACCATAAGAGATGCTGAACTCTAGGAAACAAACAGGGTTGCTGGAGGGGAGGGGGGTTGGGGATGGGGTAACTGGGTGATGGGCATTAAGGAGGGCACATGAGGTAATGAGCACTGGGTGTTACATACATCTGATGAATCACTAATTCCTACCTCTGAAACTAAAAAAAAAAAAAAGAGAGAGAGAGAGAGAAAATTGCAAGCACATTGCATGGAATGTAAGTTCTCCACAACTGTGAACTAAATTAGAACCAATTACATCTTTAGTCATCTAAAAAAAACAACAACAACAACAAGTAAACACCATAAACAACTATCTCCCTAATATGTGTGGTCTCTTGATTGTTTTTAAATCTCTGCCTCTTTTAATGAAAATTTCCCTTACTCACCCAACATATTTGTGCTTCTCAAGAGTATCTGTAACTTTCAGAATTTTCCAACTTTAATATTTATGTGGAATTTACCCTGCGCTAGGCACTGCTCTGGGCATCGGGGGTTTGATGGTGGAAGGACAACCACTGTCCCACCATTAAGAAGTATATTGTCTGCTAGGGAAATGGACATTAAATAAATAATCACACACACAAAATAAGTACAAAGCAGGCCATTAATGCATTAAATTCAATTTTCCTTGTGAAAATGTCCAAGCAGAGGGCGTGGTGTAAGGAACCCTGTCCCGAAGAATCTAGAATCATCATGATTTTGCCTCTCTTGCTTTCTGTCTCCTCGGCTCCATCCTCTCTCATTTTTCTTTGCTCAGGCACACCCCACGCATCCTGTCATTTCACTCCTAGTCACTGTCACATGCACGTCTGTACGGACATGATCTTACAGGACCACAGACCACTATCACACCCAGAGGAGCAATCATTTCTTCATATCCTTCACTATCTAGCCCTTATCAGGTTCCCCCAATTTTTCACATCTTCTCTTGGGGTAGTTGGCTGGTTCCACCTGGGATCCACACCCGGTCTACCATTGTATTTGGCTGCCATGTCTTTCCTCCCGTGGCTCTTTCAGCTGAGGCAGACCGCTTCCCTTTCTTCCCCCCCCCTTTTGCTAATACGTGGTGAAAAAACAGCATCCGTTGTCCCATAGAGCGTCTCACCCTTGGAGTTACTTCATTGTTTCCCTGTGGTATCTTTTAAACTGTGCCCCTCCCCACAGTTCTTAAACTGGAAATGAGGTCGAAAGGTTTGATTGAAGTGGGACTCGACCTTTTATGGCAGGAGCACCTCACGGGTGCGCCCTGTGTTCCGACTGCGTCATGGCGGGGAGCACCTAAGCTCTGGTCATCCTGCGCTCGTGATGAGGGAGCCTGTCCTGGACCAGCCGCTGTCAGGGGCTGCTTCAACTTTCTCTCTCCTGTTTTTGGTGGCCGTTGATAACCATTGCCTAGACTCGTATTTCTTTTTTTTCTTTTTAAATATGAAAGGCTTCACAAATTTGCATGTCAGCCTTGTGCAGGGGCCACACTGATCTTCTCCATACCGTTCCAATTTTCGCATATGCTGCCGAAGTGGGCCCTAGACCCGTATTTCAAATGGCATTGCCAAACGGTGCTTTTTCTAGCCCTTTCATTTCTTCTGTAAAGAATGTTCCCTTGTTACCCAGGACAGTTGGATGTCTACGAAATTTAGGGTTCATTCAGAAAAGGCATAACACATTTTTAAGTCTTTCTCTTTATTTGCCTGTTTTCAGGGTAAGAGTTGGCACTCCACTGTCCTCCAGCTGGGCAGAATGGGTTGTTTTTGTTGTTTGTTGGCTCATTTGCTTCTTGGCTTTTTCTTTGCTTGAGCATCATTGTAAACCAGCGGATTTTTATATGGCCAGTGTGCTTCAATCAATTAACCTGTTGTGTGTGTGTGTGTGTGTGTGTGTGTGTGTGTGTGTGTGTTTCTTTGATCTGTTCAGATTGCCCATCTTTGGCTAGTGAGAATCTCTTTATTTTGGCTTCTGTGGTTTTCACTCCTTATAGTGGTTTGATCGCCTCCTTGAATCTGGTCACACTCATTTTCTACATCTGCTGCCATGCCTTACAGAAGCCCCGACCCTTTCCGTGGGGAGCTGTGGTCAGAGCCCACAGTCTGGACACCAGTGGTGGTCTTTGTCTCTAGAGCACACTCCACAACAGAAACATAATGCTAGCCACATAAGTAATGGGACATTTTTTAGTAACCGTGTTTTAAAAAAGGAGCAAGTGAAGTTTATAACATATTTTATTTAATTCAATATATCCTCAATATTAGCATTTCAATACGTAGTTGATGTAAAAATTTATTGAGATGCATTACTTACTTTCATACTGAGTCTTGAAATCTGCTGTGTATTTTATGCTTACAGCATATCTCAGTGTGGACTTAGTCCCATTTCAGGTACCCTGTGGCCACACACCGCCAGTGGGTACCACGTGGGACAGCACAACACTACAGCTTTTCAGTGGGCAGAGAAAGGCAATGCATATTTTTGAGAAACAAATCGTGAGTTCATACTGATACCTCAAATTCAAATATAATCTGACAGGATTTTTTTCTTCTTTGGTATTATACTTGTATTCCTTTTTCTTTTAGTTTTTTGAAGATTTTATTTACTTATTTGACAGAAAGAGAGAGAGTGCACACAAGCAGGGGGAGCAGCAGAGGGAGAGGGAGAAGCAGGCTCCCCGCTGAGCAGGGAGCCCAATGCGGGGCTCGATCCCAGGACCCTGGGATCACGACCCGAGCCAAAGGCAGACACTTAACCAACTGAGCCACCCAGGTGCTCCGATACTTGTATTTCTTTTTTCTTACACTGAAAATCTTAGTTTCGAAAAATATTCACATATTATTTGCTTTATCTTAAACTATATTTAAAGTAGTTTCAAAATAATAACACACCATTACCACTGACAGTGTGATACTGAATGAGGTTTAAGATTTCTTTGCAGATCTATTTGTTTATAGAATATAGTTCACTAAGAAAATGTAATCAAATATGGGATAGTTAAAAAAACATGGAATGTTATAAAGTCATTTAATATTTTTTCTGTGTCTCACCAACTTGATGCAGCTAGCTTGGTTAGTTAATCTCAGTTTTAATCTTTAGAGGTTCCCACCTCTCATTTAGTGTTTTTGTAGTTTGTTTCAAATCTTTCTGAACATAGGGAGCTCATTTGAGGTCAAGGTCCTTTGGTGGTCAAGACATGGCTCGATGACATTTGAACCCTTCCAAGTCTAAGATGCTCTGATTATTCTAAATATCTCCTGTTCCCAGATTCATTCACAAAGCAAAGAGACTCTAAGAACACGGAAGTCTGTGCTCTATGAGCTGGTGGATTGTGGAAACTTCTTTCTATATAGCTGAGTCTTATCTTCAGAAACAGACTAGTCAAGGTTGGACAAGGGCCAGGACAGGAGTGGGGTTCACAAGGAGTTCATTGAGGGGTCTTTGAACTCTCCAGAAAGGGATTTGGAAAGGTATGTGTCTTTCCCTAGAGGCTCCTGAAAGGGAAGAGGGAGCATGGTTTTTTGCTCTTAGAATGTTTGAAGGGTTTTAGATCTAAAAGACACCTTAGAGATGACATTAGATTAGACAGCATTGAGTGATGGAGAGAACACTGGACTTGGAGCTGAGGTCCTGGATTCAGACTCAGGTGTCTCTACTTGTGTGACCTTGGGCAAGTCATTGGCTCTGTATTATGCTATTCTTGTAGTCTAGAATGGTGGACTTCTAATCTGTGGACTGGTGCGTCTCTCAATCGGGATATCTTTTTGCAGATGCATACTCGCAGGCGTCCTTGGGACATATGTGAGGCAACATCCCAGCTATGCTTGGACTAGTGCAGCAATAAGGCTTCACTAATGAGAACTGGAGAGATATGAGCTTCCAGGCCATAAAGAATTAAACTGTCTGCAACTCAGATTTGTCATCTTAAAACAGGGGTTATGCTTCTTGCCTATGGTATACAATGGGAAAGCACTTTCTAAACTCGAAATGTAAGGGGATCTTACCATTAAGTTCAGTTCGTGAGGCAGACACTCTTCTCTGATGGAGTCATTACCCTCACAGCCTTGGGTGGGATCATATGTTGCGTATAAATCTGGACCAAAATGTCACCTTTATGTTTTGTTTAGCTCCAGAACAAAGGACTGAAAGATTACTGCTTTGATTATAACCCTCCCAGTGAAAACCAAATCGTAGGACACCAGGTCCTTCTATACCTCTGTCACGGAATGGGTCAGAACCAGGTAGGTGCTGCTTCTCTAGCTTAACATTCTTGGGCCAGGGGACAGCAGACAGCAGGAGGCTCTATGCTCAAGGGACTATTGGTATGAATCTCCATTTTAAAAAAATTAAACATTTAATAATAAAGATCAGAGTAAAAAAATTAAAAAATAAAACATTTGTCATTTTTTGCATGATCCAGGTAATATATGCTTATTGCAGAACATTTGGAAAATACAAAATAGAAGCAGTAAGTGAATGACAGTTTCCAGCAACCGTCATAAGAATGAAGACATATTTACTTCCCATCTTTTTGTATGCAAGGCCTTTGGATTATTGTTTGAAATCGTTATTATCATAATGTCTATACATTTTCTATCCCATTATTTCCACTTACTTCATCATACTTTTCTTGTGTTATTAGACATCCTTTGAGACTATCATTCCTAAGGGCCTCTTGATAATCCTTCATGTGGCTATATTACTATTTAGTTATAACTGAGTCCCTGCCTGCCTGTCTTTGCAATTTTAAGTGACTCTGCCACTAACTTCTTGTCAGAAAAAAAAATAAAAAGGAAAAAACAACAGATCTGCATTTCAGATGACTTCCTTAGAATTAATGCTTAAACAGAATTCTGCGTTTTGATGCACAGTGCCATGCAGTGTTTAGGGTAATTGCCGGTGGCCTGGGCAGGTCTGTTTGGGTGAAGCGCTGAGCTTCAGGCTGGGCCAGAGAGTGAGTCCTGGAAGGTCTGTGGCCTGGAACAGGACCCCAGCCCAAGCAGGCAGATACACCAGCAGGGCAGGGCCCGTGGAGGACGGAGGAGACAAAGTGCCAGGAGGAGTGGGATTAGAGTTTCTTCCAACCTGGAGTCTCCCCAGGTTCTTGTCCAGCGATCTCCCTCTTTCCACATCAGAGAGTAACTGGTGCACGTTGGTTGCTCCGTTTTTAGTTTTTCGAGTACACGTCCCAGAAGGAAATACGCTATAACACCCACCAGCCAGAGGCCTGCATCACTGTGGAGGCAGGAACGGACACCCTTGTCATGCATCTCTGCCAGGAAACTGCCCCAGAGAATCAGAAGTTCATCTTGCAGGAGGTGAGTGAGCCGTCTCCTGCCTTCCACGCTGTTGGTCCGCGGGCTGCCGAGGGGGGAGTAGAAGTAGAGCTCCCCAGCCTAGTCCTCTCGGGTCTCAGGGGTGCAGCCACATGCAGGAGACCCAGGACTTCCCCCAAGGTGCTAGCAGTGTGGTTGGGGTCCCACTTCCGGCATCAGCACCCAGCATCAGTAGCGCTTTGGCTCCCCTCCGGTTGTCCCACCCTCCTTAAACCTGGAGCCACAGTCATGGAAAGAGGAGCTGTTGCAAACACATTTGAAGATGAAATGGGGTTGAAATGATGAAGGATGTGAGGTTAGACCCAGGTATGAGCTACTCCATGTCTGTAAGCCTCATTTTTCCCAGCTGTAAAATGGGAGCGATCATAGAGGACTAGATGTGTGGCAGAAATTGTCCTTGGAAACCATGAAGCTCTATAGCGATCAGCTGTTACTTGCAGGATAAGAAAATACCAAGAAAACATCCTTCTGAGGGAGTTGGCTCTCCATCAGAATAGTTATTGTGGATTTGAAACTGGGTATTATTTCAGGCCTGAAAGGCACTACCCCCCGCCCCCAGCCCACACACACACAGCCGTAATGGGACTCGTGAATCTGTCAGATCCTTTGACTCACGAAAAAGCACATGAGGGAATAAATCCAAAGAAAATAATTCACAAGAAAAAATCAGTTCTCTTTTATCTCCATAGGAAGCTTTCATTCCCAGCCTGGCTCCAGGGATGGAAAGATTGGTCTCTGTTGCTTATAAATGGGTTAATTCTAAGTATGATTAGAAGCTGCAGTCCATTTTCCTGTAGACGATATTATGATTAGCTATGAAATCTGCAGGCTACCTGGACAAGCCTTGCACTTGTTGCTATCCATCTGATATATAAAAAATACGAGGGAAGACACCCGCGGTCTGTGGTTCTCTGCAGCGCCCGCCTCCGTCTCCTTCTCTTCTTTCTTCTAACTGGAAGCTGTTTGTAAGCCCTCGAGGAAGAGTCATGCAAGCTAGAAATCATAAAATTGGTTTGAAATGTCATGAAAATTTTATCTTAAATTTCAGTGACCATTTAAGGAACAGTAAGTTTCCTTAGCAGGGTGGGAGAAAGGAGGCTGTGTTTAATCATTTTTCTTTCTTGGTACTCTGAGGGCAACTGGGGAGCTCTCTTAAGGGTTTTAAAGGTTAATATTTTTGAGATTCTTCTGCATATAATTCTATTTCCAAAGTTCCTCTTTCCCTAGAACAGGTATGTCACTCGTTCTGCCCATTTGCTCCTCAGCCACGATGAAGTTCCCTGGGGGTGTACAGCTTATGACAGAGACAGGTGGAGGGGGAAAAAAACTCCAGGACTGGGGGAGAGGCTTTCTGAGTTAACCCAGCAACAGTTGAGAAAAAGAAGAGAAGGCGTTAAAGAGGACCATGATCTTTGGGGTTGGGGAAATGGGCACGGTCCCACAGAATCCGTGGCCTCGCTGGTGACTTCCCCTCACCCAGCTGTTCTCTGGTCGACCTGGGACTACAGCCAAGTTTCCTGAGTCTGCATTTAAAAACCTAAAAGAAAGAGACCACCAGGGATGTAATTAGTTGACCTGAGGGAAGTGAAAGAGGATAATAAGGGATCTTTGATCCTGATTTCCCTGAACGGAAAGAAGAGCAGTAGGGAGGAGACGTGGAGTCTGACAGATCCCCAGAGTGGCCAGCAGGTGGCACCGCCGGCCCTGACAGTGGAGTTGGGGACCCTGGAGCTGAGCTTCCGGCGACTGGGGAGCCTACCACACCTGCACACGCCTGGCCCTCCCTATGTACGTGTGGTCCCGAGTCACCTTAGTACAGAGCAGACACTTAGCTCTCACTAAATGCTTCTGCCGTGATAAAAATCACCTGAGCTCTTAAGAACACATTGTAAGGAAAAAGATATTTTCTGGGGAATTATTTGCATTTCTCTTAAATATCCACAGTTATCATCTCTTGTAGGATGGTTTGTTATTTCACGCACAGTCCAATAAATGCATTCAGGCTGAGAGGAAGGCGTTCAGTAGTGACAGTTTTGTACCCCTCTTGCGGGACTGCACCGACTCCGAACATCAGAAATGGTTCTTCAAGGAACACATGTGATAAAGCGTCGTGGGACAAGGAGCTCATGGAAGGGGTGGGAAGGCCCCTGGACTCTGCCCAGGAGAGACTCAGTGGAGTCCAGTGACAGACCCACCCCAAAGCTGGCTGCTTTCCTTTCATAAGGAAGTCACTTTACAACCTGTGAAAGTGATGTTGGATTTAAGAAGCTTTGTACTGATTTTGAAAACTTCAAAATTGCTCCCAAATACCCTATTTTCAAAGGGTAGTCATAAAATGTTAACTCTTGGTATTCAGAGAATTAAAACCTTAAAATATTTTTCTATCAAGATGTGTCTTCTACTGTCATGCCTTTCAGTTACAATCCCTGGCAAAAAAAAAAAAGGTAGATATTCTATTTTTGGTGTCTGCAAGGATTCCCAGGCATTAAGATGTTTGCGTGGGTGGAAATTAGACTCATGTAGCATACTCTACATAAACTGACAACACCTCAAACATTGGGTTAGTTTTTCTCAGTGTAGACAGATGGACACTAGGAACATTGTATTGATTCCTTCACATTGTTGAGATATTCCAGGTTTATTTAAATAAGGAAAGCTATTTGGTTATGTGTCATCACCATAGTGAAGACTCCAGCGAACGTCTCTGTTAGCTAAAGAGGACTAACCGAAGCTGAAATCTCAAAGGCACAGCGCGACTTAGCGAGTCACCATCAGCTTCTAGCACACACGGTGACCTCCAGACAGTGCCTCGCTGTTTCATGGCTGGGGGCTTTCAGAAATCACCTCCGTGACTTTAAAACACGTTTGTGTCATTTTACATTTTAATTACACATTGGCATCCAGGGGAAATGCACTGTGCTATACGAAACGAAGTTTTCAAATGTGTTCATTAATAGTATTTGGTCCTTACACCTGCGTTCAGTTCTGTGCGGTAGTAGCTGCTGCCGAACTAGCCCAGATCCACTTCTGGGATCTTGTCAACCTGATGACATCACTGTGAACAATTCGAAGAACAATAGGAAGACATTGTAGATCTTTGCTTTTGTAGCCAATCAGATGTGAGCCACGAAGACGCAGGCTCACTTGACTAAAAAGTATCAACCTGTGTGCCTTCAGGCTCTTTTTTAAAACATCCTGCCTTCTCTGGGGGGTCCAGTTTAACAATCACCCAGAACGACTCCAGCTGACCTGGCTAGCATCAATCTGATGCCACTCTGAACTTGGGTTTCTTCTTCTGTAGAATGAGAATAATGAAACCAAGCATGGAAGGGAGTCACGAGAATGAAATAACAGAGCAGATGTGGGCTTAGTTTAGTCCTTGGCATGCAGTATGGGCTAATTCAATTTCTAGTTTCATAAATAACACGTTATAATATGTGAAGCACAATAAGCATCAGTGGGTGTTTATTCAAAAATAAATATTAAGTACTTTAGTTATTTTATCTTTATGGGATTAAATAGCTCATTGGCAGGCAGGGCGATGGTATAAGCCCCTTGCAGCACAGCTCAGTTCTCTCATAAGTGGTTAAAGTGAGAAATTTTATGTTCTGCATATTTTACCCTTTCTGCATGTCAGTCTGAGCTGGATGAAGCGGTGTCAGCCCCTCCCAGGGCGTGGGAAGACCATTTCAGGCAGGCGTAAAATGGTTGCTGACCAAATCCATAAAGAGTGCAAGGAGGGGCTGCCTGGGTGGCTCAGTCGGTTAAGCATCTGCCTTTGGCCCAGGTCATGATCCCAGGGTCCTCGGATCAAGTCCCACATTGGGCTCCTTGCTCAGCAGGGAGCCTGCTTCTCCCTCTCTCTCCCTCTGTGCTCTGTCAACTAAATAAAATATTTAAAAAAAAAAAAGTGCAAGGAGGCTACACAGGCATTTTTGTGTGCTTTCACTGGGCACCGCCACTAATCAGTTTGGTTTGAGAGTCATCCCTCTTACTCCTGCTATCAACTTACATGTGGTGGTTTTTAGGGTAGAAAACTAATACAAATAATATTTTTAGGGTGTCAAGTATTTTTACAGACTGGATGGCAATTTACATTTTGAAGAACATTTCCCTTCACTGATGGATGGGGAATCTGAGCCTGGGTGTCTCCACCTGATCTGCTGGAAGGTGTGAATTGGCCCCCAGTCCTGGTGCACGGAGCCAGGACTCCTGGGGGCCAGCCTTAGCTATGGCAGGTCATTTCACCTTCCTGGACTCATTTCCTCATCTGCATCATGGGGATAAGAATATCCTCAAGAATGTTGATTTCTTAGCATTTTTTAGTTACCCTAAGGATTGCAGTATGCTTCCCGAATTTACCACAATCTTCTTCAGTAGAGTATCAAGTTAATTCCAGTAAAATTTAGCAAATTTGTATTAGTGTAACTCCATTTCCTACCCCTTCCTTTGTGTTATTGTAGACATACATATATGTTATAAACTCAATCAAATGATGTAATTATTACTTTAAATTATTTTAATTATTTAAAGAATAAGAAGAAAAGAGGAAAATATATACGTGTGTGTGTGTGTGTACACACAGTCTCTTATATTTACCCACATCTGTATCATTTCCATGCTGTTCATTACTTCCTGTGAATCTGAGTCCCCTCTGGTGTCATTTTATTTCAGTGTAAAAACTTTTTGGTATTTCATCTAGGATGGATCTGTTAGCAACACAGTCTCAGTTTTTATTTATTTGGGAGTGTTTCTATTCTACCTTCAGTTTTTTGGAAGATTGTTTGGATAGAAAATGCTAGTTGACAGGGACCCCACCACCACCACCTTCAGCACTGTGAATTTGAGATTATACCGCCTCCGTGTTGCCTTTGTTTTGAGTGAGAGGTCATCTGCTAATCATTTGGTTACCTGTATGTGATGAGCCATTTTTCTCTTGCTGCTTTTAAGATTTTCTCTTTGACCTTAAATTCTCTTTCTCTTCAGTCTGTCTTTGGCTTTCAGTGTTTTTTTTTTTTTTAAAGATTTTATTTATTTATTGGAGAGAGTGAGAATGGACAGAGAGCACATGAGAGGAGGAAGGGTCAGAGGGAGAAGCAGACTCCCTGCCGAGCAGGGAGCCCGATGCGGGACTCGATCCCGGGACTCCAGGATCATGACCTGAGCCGAAGGCAGTCGCTTAACCAACTGAGCCACCCAGGCGCCGTGGCTTTCAGTGGTTTAAGATATGTCTAGATGTGGTCTGTGTTTATCATACTTAGGGTTTGTTGAGCTTTGGGGAATATAATGTTTTTAAAATCAGTTTGGGAAGGTCTACAGCCATTTTTTCTTCATTATTTTTTCTGCCCCTCTATTCTTCAAATTGAATAAAGCCTATCTGTCTTCTTTAAGTTCATCTGACTTCTGCCATCTCAAACCTGCTACTGAGGTTACGCAGTCATTTTATTTCGGTTATTGTACTTCTCACCTCTGAATATCCACTTGTTTCTTTTTCGTAGTATCCAGTTTCTGTGTTTGAAATTTGACTCATTGTTACAAGCACATTTTCCTTTAGTTCTTTGAATATAGTTTTTAAAAATTCTTTGAATATATTTGTAATAACTGCTTTGAAGCCTTTGTACCATAGCAGCTTAAAACATTAGAGACATTATCTTGCAGTTTCTGTAGGTCCAATTTGGGGCATGGCTTGACTAGATTCTCTGCTCAGGGGTTCCCAAGGCTGCAGTTGAGGTGTCCACCTTGGCTGTGATCTCATTTGAGACTCAGGGCCCTCCTCCAAGCTCCCTGGTTGTTGGTGGAATTCAGTTCTCTGGGGCCACAGAACTGAGTACCTCAGCTCTAAAAGGTCACTTTCTGCTCCCTGCCGTGTGGCCCTCTCCACAACGTGACAGTTTGCTTCTTTAAGGCCTGTGGGAGAGTGCCTGTCGCTTATTCTTAGCTCTTTTAAGGGCTCACTTGATTAGGTCAGTTTGACCCAGGATAATCTTCCATCTCTTAACTTAAAAGTCATCTGATTCAAGACATGAATTACATCCACAAAATTTCTCCAGTGCAGTGGTATCCCATCACGTTCCCAGGTCTTGCCCCTACCCCAGGGGAGGAGACCACACAGAGCATGTTTGCCAGGAGGCAGGAAACGTGGAGCTCATCTAAGCCTTCTGCCTACCACAGCCCACCCTCTGGCCCCCACGTAGTTGACGCCCCTTCCACGTGAAACATACATTCACTCCCTCCCCAGGATCCTGAGTCTCATCTCATTACGGTATGAGTACAAAGTCCAAAATTGCATCATCTGAATCAGCTGAAAATCCAAAATCTAAGTCAGGTCCAGGTCCAGATGAGGGCTCCTGGGTGTCCCCCAGCAGGTGCAGCGGCCAGGACATGGTTCCCCACCACCTGTGGGCCTGGAAGCCAAGGGACAGCTTCTCAGCCCTGCCACGGCCAGCACACGGTAGTGGGAAGGCGCGGGACAATGGTTACAGACATTCCATCTCAGACAGGGGGACCTGAAGGTCGGAAGGAGCCATGGGTCCGTAACGCTTTTGAAATCTAGCCAGGTAAATGTTTCGCTTCTCTGGACTCAGCTTCAAGACCTGGGAAGAATCCTCTGGAACTCTTGCCTCTTTTTTCTGGGCACACAGCTCCCCAACTCTTGCCCTCCTTCCTTTTTTAGGAAAGGTGACATGGTTGCGTTGGAGGAGTTTTACCAGTCTGCACCCCGCAGTGGAGTTTTGGGGGTCCAAGGCTCTCCTTTCATTGTGTACTCTCACTGTCCCTTTTTAGTCCAAGGTGGCAGGCTTTCTGCTGAAATAATTTTCTTGAGAACTTTGGGCATCTTGTATCAATTCATTGCTTTTTACCCCACTAGACAGAAGCCACTTCCACAGATCTCTCTTTCTCTCTGCAAGCTGCCTAGATGCCCCAGGCTCAGCTGAG